GGGGCGCAGGGTTTCCCGGACGGAGGTCGCCCCGCGCGCCCTGGCTGCGGGTTCGTGGGCACCGAGTCTGCCCCCGGGAGGGTCGGTTCCTTTCCTGCGGTTCTCGGGCTCAGTTGTAGGACAAGCGACGGTGCCGCCCTGGGGCTCGGTCCTCACCGGGGGTCCCCGCACGCCTCTTCATCTCACAATGGATCAAAGACCCCAGCCTCGCGGGGGCGGGGGGGGGCAGGCTTTTGTTCCGGGGGAGCTCGGCCTGGGTTCCCCGAGTTCAATAGTGACTCCAGGCTTGGTTCGGCCGTTTAACGGCACCGCTGATCCTCAGTTTCCAAACTTGCTTGGGGCTCCGGGCAGGAACGCATCGCAGGCCTGTGGCGCCCTGCGGGGTCCTTCCCGAGGATGCCTTGAATTCGGAATTCCAGGAAACTGGTGACCTGCACGGCCCGCAGGTGGCGCTGTCAGCCCACCTGCTCTTTACCAGGTGCCCGGTAGCGCTTTAGGGAATTAGGGAGTGAGCTCCCCCCTCCAAAAGTGAACCTAGATCGGAACCAAAGACCCAGTGAGTGACCACTCACCGGACCTCAGTGCAAAGATGGGGGAATGGGCGGAGAGAAGGGAAACCCCTGATGGTAGATCTCGGAGGGAGGCGAGGGTGGGAGGCAGACAGGGACAGTGGCCTGGGCGTGGGCCAGGTGAGGGAGGAAAGGGAGAGGAGGAAGGACCAGCCAGGTGAGTCCACCTGAGGCAGTCACACAGTGGCACATACCTCCATCTCCAGGGCCTAGTGGTCAGGACACCCCAGATCTGTTTCTCCGAGGCTGGATGCTGGGTGCACTCCTGCCCTCCGTGTTCCTGGACCAGGGCGAGGGTGCGTCCAGGTGGAGCCCGCATTGCTCCCCTAGAGCCCCTGCTGGCTCTGGCTGTTTCCTCCAGGGATGGCGAGGGGCCAGGAGGTTGGGCAAGGCTTTGCGCCTACATGCCATGTGTCTGGGTGATGCATTCACTCAGGTGGTCTGGGTGCTGGGCCTCTGTAGGGGCCTGTCCCACAGTCCCGAGGAAGGCAGGGTGGAGTGCCCAGGTGCTGGAAGGCAGCAGGTGTGGGTCCTTGGCGGCGCAGGTGCCCTGGAGCACAGAGCAGGGTGGGCAGTGGTGCCCTTTCTGGGGAGCTCCTGCCCGGGGCAACAGTTCTGGTCTCACATGTGTGGCTGAGTGTCCCATGCCTCCCCTTTCTTCAGCTGTAACTGGGCAGAGGGACTGAGCCCTGAAATGGCTCCCACCCCAGTTGGCCACAGGGACAGGGACAGGATCGTTAGGGTGCGGCCCTTGGGAAGCCCCTTGACAGCACAGGCCACAAACCTGGAAAACGGGTTCTTCCACCCAGGTGGCGCTTGGCACTCCCCGGATGTGCTTGCAGGGGGACATGGGTGAGGGCGGGCTGCACTGGGCCCTGGAGGAGAAGTGAGCCTGGTGCAGACGGCAGATGCCCCCAGAACCAGGGAGGCACAGGGCCCAGCCAGCCTGGCAGCAGAGGTGGACAGAGACATTCCAGAGCCTCAGTGGGAAGACCCGGCAGCCTCTGGCAGTGCCCCAGTCAAGGGACTCGTTAGGTGAGATCAGGAAAAGGGCTGAAGTGCAGAGCCTTGGTCTGGGGCTTGGGCTGATCTGGGAGGTAATGTTGGGAAATTCTGGGCCCACAGGCAGGTGTCCAGGGATTCCACCTGTGGCCGGGGCCAGTGTGGCCCTGTGCTGGCTCAGGGCAAGAAGGGACAGATTTCTGGCAGAACTAGAGCAGAGCCAGCTCTGGGCTCTAGGGCTCTAAGCTGCTGTCAGGACTCTGGGGGAGCTGGGATGGGAAAGGAAGGAGGGAAGCAGACCCAGTCTTCGTGGCAGAGCAAGAAACCAAACTTCAGAGAGGCTGTGTCTGGTCCAGGGCAAGTGCAGGGTGAATCCTGGTCTATCTGGTCCCACACCTATGCATTGATCTCTTCACCTGCTGCTGCAGATGGGAGAGAGAGCTGGGCAGCATGACCTTGTTGAAACAAGGGGTCCTGATTTGTGTGCAGCCATCATCCCAGGCTGAGCTGGTTGGTAACTAAGGGCTGGACACAAAGGTCTCAAGAAAGAGGAGGTCCAGGAGGACTTCCTGGAGGAGGAGGCTTTGCACTGGTAGGAGACTGCAGGAGGGCTCCATCCATGTGAAAGGCAGGGCCTGTGCAGACAGGCGGAGGCTGGGGTGATGGGCCAGGGTGAAGGTGGGCTCTAGGCCAACCTCCCAGCCTCCCGTGGAGCTGGAGGGAGGGAGGGCCGGTGAGCCTGGGACCCCAAGGGTGGGGCACACAGAAGAGGGGGCTCAGGACCTGTGGGCACCAGGCAAGGTCAGAGCCGGTCCAGGAGGGAGGCCTGAGCTGGGAGCAGCATGAATTCTCGATGTGGGCATGTGGATGAGCCCTGAAAGGTCGGGCCCATTCTGGGGGCTCTTCATAGATGGGGCTGTGGGAGTGGGGCTGGCTTGTGAGGAGGACATGTGCAGGAGGCCCCCTGGAGAGGCTCCCCACAGCACCCAGCATCCTCCTAATGCAGCAGCCAGGGGCCCAGGCACTGCCACCTATGCAATGCAGGTGTGACCTTGGGTAGGTCCTTCCCTGCCCTGGGCCTCAGCTTCTTCATCTGCCAAATGGGAGAGGAGAGGTACCCAGCTCTCCATGGGTGGGGCCTCCTGGGCCAGCCCGAGGTGTGCGCAGCTCAGGGCTCACTGGGAAGCTGTGGGGTCACAGAGAGGAAGGTGCAGGAATTGCTGTGAGGCGGATACTGTCATAGCAGCTGCCTCCTGGGAGCCTCAGGGCCGGACTCTGGGGCCAGGCTGCTCTGGCAGCCTCTCCTCTGGCAACTGCTGGATGCCGGGGGTTCATCTGAAAGAAGAGTGAGGAATATTTCAAATTTGAGGAACCGACGCTATCGAAGGCTGGTGACTTTCCTGGCCCTGGATGTGAGATCAAGAGGTTACGAGGCTGCTGAGCTGCGTTGTGGGTGCTGGTGCCCAGGGCTTGCACTGCCCTGCCAGGAGCTCCCGCCATGCAGAGATGCCATCCCCATCCCAGTGCCACTGAGTGTGGCTGGGTGTGTGCGGGGGTTCTCCTGAGAGCAGACGGGCGAGGGCCTTGTGCAGAGAGAAGCTGCTCCCCAGCTCTGTAGGATGCCAGTGGTCGAGCACGGAGGCCTCTGCAGTGACCTCTGGGCGTCTGGGAGAACAGGCGAGGGGCTGTGGGTCTCTCTTTCCCACCACGTGCTGGAACGAGAGGGCTCAGGCCATCGCGGGCTCAGCACCAGGTCCCCACGCACTGCCTCCCGCCACCCCTCCTGGAAAGGGACTAGATAGCGCCAAATGGTTCTCTCCCTCCTCTCACTCTTCTGCCCTGAACCCTCAGGAGCTCCCCAGTACCCAGAGGATAAGGTTCTGGGTCAGAACCTGGCACTCGATGCCCTCGTGGACAATAAGGGCACCCCGAGAAGCTATTCCTCAGGGCACGGGATCCTCAGCCGCCCCCAGCTCTTAGGAGGTGCCGTCCTGGGTTTTCCTAAAGCTGGGCCTGCCTGTGGGCCACCTCCACAGACACCATCTCATTCCAGGACTGGCCTGTTGACCCTGTTACAACGTCACCCAGCCTTCTGTCGTGCTCGGTTGTCCTCACCGGCGTGACCTCTGCTTAGTGCATTTTGTGACCAGCATGATTGTTTTCTGCTTGCCTGCTTGACAACGTGAGCCACTGTGGATGGGTTTTTGTTTTGGGGCACTGGGCGGTACGGGGATCTGAACCCCTGACCTTGGTGTTAACACCAAGTTCTAACCAGCCAGCTGGGTGGGAATTTTGATTGGTTCTCCGCCGAATTCCCAGTGTGAGGAGGGGCTTCAGCAGATTTCCTGAATGAACAGACCAAGAAGTGAGTGACTCCCGTCCCCGTGCTGCAGGCAGACTGGCGGCCTCTCCCTCCAATAGCTGCTCCTCCCGGCAGGGAGGTCTGGTGGGCACCTCCCTGCGCCCCTCCCAGGCCTGGGTGTCCAGCAGTCCGAGAGTGGGAGCCTGGGCCCCAGGGTGGTCCACAGACCGAGGGAGGGGATGCAGGACACATTCCTGGTCTCAGATTCTGAGGCTCCCTGGGAATCGGGTGGCAGTGGGGTGGCCTCCGCCAGCGTCCAGCTCTGCGGCCCCAGTGTGTGGACAGACAGCAGCCTGGACCTTCGAGGAGGCCTGGGAGACACCTCAGGTGAAGGAGGAGCTTGGAGGAGGGGAACTTTAGAAGTTGTCTCCTCTTACAGTCCCTGATGAAGATGACGCCTTGCACCACCCTCCTGTCCCTCGGCCGTGGGGTCAAAGTCTGGGGAGGTGGACAGGGCCACTTGTCCCTGAGCTGAACCTGCAGGCGTCAGCAGTGATGGATGGGTGTGTGCAGAATTCCTGGAGGAGCCTTGCTGGGGACCCGACCCAGGCAGCGGGGGTGCTAGTCCCTAAGCCCAGGCAGTCGGAGATGGTGTCCAGGTGATGCAGGCCAGTGAGTTCCGACGTGACACTTGTACCACCTTCTTTAATCAGGCGACGGTGTTTTGTCATTATCCCCTGGGGCCTTGGATTCTGGGAGGGGCCAGGGGCTCAGGGGACAGGCATTCGAATCCTCGGGTCTGACGACAGCAGATGAGGGTGGGCCTGGGACTGAGCCTCTGACCCTGTCCCCTGGCTGGTCTGGAAGCTGGTGGGCAGTGCAGGAAGCCAGGACTCTGCTCAGTCCCTCGGGGGGGCCAGCCAGGGCCTGCTGCCAGTGCTGAGGCCGGGAAGGGTGGTGGGCAGAGTCCGGGGCAGGGACGGCCAAGGCTGCTGTGTGACCTTGGTGGGGCATTTCCCTGCCTGTTTCCTCGTCTGTGCAGGTAGGAGTGAGTAATGTCCTACACAGACACCTGTTGCTACAGAATAGCCCCCCGACCCTGCCCACCACTCCTCTTCCCAACCCCACTCCTCCATAGGGGAACCTGCTCGACTTGCCTCCCCGCCCATCCTGGGCATCTGCCCCGATGCCCCTCGCTGCGGTTGGCATGGCTTGCTGTCCAAGGCCACTGGTGTGTGCTCCCCACATCCTCTACCTGCTCAAGGATGCAGGCTCTGAGGCTGTCCCCACGCCTCTCTCCGGCTTCCTACCCTTTCCCTGCGGCGGACCCCTCCGTGTCTGAACCTACTGCTTGTCCCCATCCGTTCTTTCCCAATAGTCTGTCCCCTCCCCGCAGATGGCAGCCCTGCTCTCTCCTAGCTCCTGCTGGCTTCATCCTTTGAGGAGGGCCGGGTACTTCTGTCTGTGGAAGCTGGGCTGGGCCCCCTACACCAGTTCTGGGCCAGGGGACCAGCCAGGCCCTTCCAGCTTGGGGCCCCTGCACATGCTGCCCCTGTGCCCAAAGTGCCACCCCCCACTGAGCTCTGACCCCGAGACCCCCACTTTTCCAAGAATCTCTTCCTCAGGCCCCAGGCATGGAGGGCTTGGGAACCGCCCTTGTCATGTCATGTCCCTCTCCTGATTGATTAGTGGATCGATCGACTGATCACCGTTTATCCCCATCAACACCCCAACACCCCACTGCCTTCCCCCCAGGACCCATTCTGATGAGCGTTTAGTGTGTGCCTTTTGTGTTTTGTATTTTTCAGAATGCATAATGCTGTTCGGTTGCAAGTATTTCTGATCAATACTAGCGGTGTGCCAAAGTTCTAGACTCAGGACCTCTTTACAGTCTTACAATTGTCGAGGACCCCAAAGAGCTACTGTTCAGGAACGTTATATCCAGTGGTGTGTGGGAGCCGGCTCGTCTCAGCTCACGAGAGCCTGCTGTGAAATCTCCAGCCATCATTAAAATC